GAAGGTACACTATATCAGTCAACTACAGGATATGAGCCACAGAAGGTACACTATATCAGTCACCTACAAGATATGAGCAACAGAATGTACACTATATCAGTCAACTACAGGATATAAGCCACAGAAGGTACACTATATCAGTCATCTACAAGATATGAGCAACAGAATGTACACTATATCAGTCAACTACAGGATATAAGCCACAGAAGGTACACTATATCAGTCACCTACAAGATATGAGCAACAGAATGTACACTATATCAGTCAACTACAGGATATAAGCCACAGAAGGTACACTATATCAGTCAACTACAGGATATAAGCCACAGAAGGTACACTATATCAGTCACCTACAAGATATGAGCAACAGAATGTACACTATATCAGTCAACTACAGGATATGAGCCACAGAAGGTACACTATATCAGTCACCTACAAGATATGAGCAACAGAATGTACACTATATCAGTCAACTACAGGATATAAGCCACAGAAGGTACACTATATCAGTCAACTGCAGGATATAAGCTGCAGAAGGTACACTATATCAGTCACCTACAAGATATGAGCCACAGAATGTACACAATATCAGTCAACTACGGGATATAAGCCACGGAAGGTACACTATATCAGTCAACTACAGGATATGAGCAACAGAAGGTACACTATATCAGTCAACTACAGGATATAAGCCACAGAAGGTACACTATATCAGTCACCTACAGGATATGAGCCCCAGAAGGTACACTATATCAGTCACCTACAGAATATGAGCCACATAAGGTACACTATATCAGTCAACTACAGGATATGAGCCACAGAAGATACACTATATCAGTCACCTACAGGATATAAGCCACAGAAGGTACACTATATCAGTCACCTACAGGATATAAGCCACAGAAGGTACACTATATCAGTCACCTACAGAATATGAGCCACAGAAGGTACACTATTCAGTCACCTACAGGATATAAGCCACAGAAGGTACACTATATCAGTCA